ATGAATATGCAGCGGTCCCAGATGAGGAGCCATCAGTAAAAACTGTAAGGGCCCCTACTAAAGGCTCTGTAGAAGTTAATTTAGGGAAAACAAAGGGGTGTGTGCGAATAAAGTGTAACATTTTATGAGCAGGATAATGATTATCTATATTTCCGGGAAATGAGGAAAGCGCTATAGGCCAAAGGTCAGAGGTACGAAAAAGACAATCAACCACCGCCTTTGCATAAGGTAGAATGATAGAGTGAGGCTCCTGACCAAAGATCTTGACACTGGTATCTCAGGCTTGAATAATGAGTTCTGCTACTAAATTATAATAAGGAACAACAACTTTGGACGAGGAGGAAGGAAGATGAACCCAGAGAAGGGGAGAGGCCACCTGCCAAAAGACTCCCGTGGGTGTGTGTGAAGTGGCACAGACAATAAAAAGGAATGGAAGGGAATAATCCAGGGCTGACACAAATTGGCCTTGAATGGCTTGTGTGATTAAGTCTAAAGCCTTTTTTCCTTCAGGAGTTAACTGTCTAGGTGATCAGGGGTCTGGGTCCCCCCTTAAAATATCAAACAGAGGTTTCAAATCACCTGTAGTAAGATGGAGATAGGGGCGGATCCAATTAACATCCCCTAACAACTTTTGGAAATCATTAAGAGTTCTTAAATGACTAGTTCTCAATTTCAGGTTAGAAGGCCTAACTAGGGAACCACGGAGCTCAAAACCGAGGTATGTATAAGGGTCCGTGACTTGGATTTTCTCGGGGGAGACCTGCAGACCCCATTCAGCAAGGTTTTGCGAGAGAAAATCAAAGCAATGAGAGAGGGATTGTGACTCGGGGCTAGCGATTAATATATCGTCCATATAGTGGAGGATATAAAGGGAGGGCCAACGATCACGAGCGGGCTGAATAGCCGCAGCCACAAACTTTTGGCAGAGTGTAGGGCTATTAGCCATTCCTTGGGGGAGCACTTTCCACTGAAAGCGTTTCACTGGGCTCTGAAAATTCACAGAAGGCAAACTAAAAGCAAAACGAGCACGGTCAGCAGGGTGCAAAGGAATAGAGAAAAAGGCATCCTTAAGGTCAACAATGATTTTAAAAAATGAGCTGGGGATTGCCACAGGGGAGGGCAGACCAGGTTGAAGGGAGCCTTTGATGATCATGGTTCGGTTAACAGCGCGAAGGTCCTGTAAGAGCCTCCATTTTCCCGATTTCTTTTTGATAACGAAAATAGGGGTATTCCAAGGGGAATCGCTATATTCAATCCGGCCAGCGAGGAATTGCTCCCGCACTAGCTCCTCGGCAGCCTCAAGCTTCTCCCTTGGAAGTGGCCACTGATCAACCCACACGGGCACGTCATCCTTCCATAGGATACGGTCTGCGTGGGGTGCAGGAATATCAGCGGCCATCAGAATAAATTTCCCAGACCTAATCTTTCAGGGCGAGGAGAGGCCTCAATGGGAGAACGAATGCCCTGTGAGTTTTTTCCAAGACCTTGGCCAGGTAGGAAACCCTGCCTCAGCATCTGGGAGGTAACAAGATCACTCGGACTGCACATAACCAATCCCATCTGTGAGAGAATATCCCGGCCCCAGAGGTTAAAGGGAAGGCCAGGAATAACATAAGGTTTCACAAGACCAGTGTTATTCTCAGCATCCGACCAGGTCAAAAATTTGGCACTCTGCTCAGGATCTACTGCCTGGCCTATGCCTTTAAGGTTAGTAAGGGCAGAAACTAAAGGCCAGGAAGCAGGCCAGGACTCCTTCCTAAGAACAGTGGCATCAGCGCCAGTATCCACAATCCCTTCAAACTGTTTGCCCTCAATCTTTAGGAGAAGCAGGGGCTTTTGGGGGAGAACAAGCTGAACCCAAAAGGCATCGGAGGAGCCGAAACCACGCGGGCCACGAAGGGAAGGCCTCTGGGAAGAACCCACGGAATTATCAAGAGGAAGCAAAAGAAGCTGCACCAGGCGTGTGCCCGCCGGAATGGTTTTTGGAACAGCAGAGGCGGTAGAAACTATCACCTTGATCTCACCAGTATAGTCATTATCAATTACTCCTGGATGTACAAAAAGGTCAGAGATCGTAGAGGAGGCTCTCCCAAGGAGAAGGGCAAAGAGCCCCAGAGGGCAGGGACCGAATACCCCAGTACCAAGGACCTGAGGTCCCTGGTCTGCACTTAATACTGTGGTGGAGGAGGAACGGAGGTCCAGTCCGGCGCTGCCAGGGGTTGCTCGGGAGAGATCAGAGATTAAGACACGGCCAGCCGAGCGGCCCCGGGGCCAGCCTGTGAGGGGATGAGAGGGGCCTGGGGCTGGCCCCGGAGGAAGTTTCCCTGCGGCGACAGGGGGAGGCCCTCAGCGGAAGTTTTTAGAGCGGCACTGAGAGGCCCAGTGACGACCCTTCTTACATCGGGGACAGAGGCCAGGGTGACCAACACGGCCTTGCTTGGCGTTTGGGCAATTTCTAGCAAAATGACCAGGAGTGCCGCAATTAAAACATTTAGGAGAGGCGTTGGGGGGGGCAGCAGCAACAGCCCCGGCAAAGGCATCCTGTAACGCGGCACCTATAGCGGCGCCAATTTGGCGACTGGAGCCAATATCCTGACAGAGACGGATATAATCAGAAAGAGACCCCTGACGTTTTTGCGGGCGAATGGCGGCCTGACAGGCAGAATTGGCATTTTCAAAAGCAAGCTGCTTGACAAAATCACTGTCGCCCTCAGATGGCCCCAACAGTCTTTCCGCGGCCTCAGTTAGACGACTAACAAAATCAGCGTAAGGCTCCTCAGGCTTCTGGCGGATGGAGGCGATAGAGGTCGTGGCAGGTCCTTTAGGAGGTAACAGCCGCCATGCCTTTTGTGCAGCAGCCTGAATTTGAGCAAAAATTCCGGAAGCAAACTTAGATTGGGCCTCATTAGTATCAAAAGGAGGAAGGCCAACAAGCATTTCATAAGTCCATTCCGCACTTTCCCCTCCGGCCTCACGATTACGGCGGGCCGCTTCCTTACAAAATTCTTTAAATTCAGATTTCCAAAGCACAAAATTTCCTCCACTCAGGGTGGCGCGGGCAAGGTGAAGCCAATCATGAGAAGTGAGCCATAAATGATCAAGGGCATCAAGGATGGAGAGGGTGAATGGGGCAACAGGGCCATACTGAGAGACTGCCTCTTTTAGTGTTTTTAGCGTCTTATACCCGAGGCGTCTATATTGCCGGGGGGCAGCCTCCTCTCCCTCCTCGTCAGTGTCACTTGACGCAGTTTTATCCTCAATAACGGGAAAAGGAAAAGGGGGGGAGGAGGAGAAAAGACTCCTTTTCTTAGGGAGTAAAGACCCTGCATCTTTAGGGGAAGGGAGGGGGGCCAAAACAGGGGATTCGGATTTGGGTTTGGAGGTTACTGTAGGGGCAGTGAGAGCAACAGCCGGGCCAGGGATGCAATCAGCGAGTTCCAAATCAAGGAGCCATAGTTCCTTAAGTAGCTGTGCTTTCTCTTTCTTAAACATCAACGTCTGTCGGAGGGACTGAATCTCAGAGGGGAGCGAGGTCAAGGGAGTATCAACAGGCGGAAAAGGGGGAAGAGTATGATAAGGAGGGGGAGCAGAAGGGGGCAGAGAAGCAGGAAGATGAGGGGTTGGGAGTGCAGAAGCAGGAGCAGCGGGCGCGGAAACAGAGTGCTGTATAGTAGCAAAACATGCAGGAGCGGCACTGAAATTATAAGGGTCATTATAAGAAGCAGCCTCCTGCTCAAGGTCAGCTGCATCAGTAGGATCTAAGGTATCATTTGACCTCTTGACCAAAGCCTCTTGTAAAACAGGATAAATGCGCTCAACTCTCCTACTTTGGGAGGAGAAATCATCTAAGGGCATGTCGATGGACACAGAATCACAATCCTTCCTAGACTCATCCTCTGTTGAGGGTGGGGCTGGTAATGGACAAGGAGGCTCCGGGGGGCCTCCGTCTTTCTCACTGACAATCTTACAAACCTCAGTCTCAAAAGGACGTATTTTCAAAATATCATAAATACAATTCCAGTAATTGAACGCAGTAACAGGGACCTTCTCGAGCCCGGAAGTTCTAAAATAATCATTAAGACAATCTCCCACCCGTTTCCATCTTTTCTCATCTATTGTTCCTTCCTGGGGGAACCAAGGACAGACGTCCTTTAAGAAAACAAAAAATTGTATAAGATCCTTTTTCTTAACCTTTACTCCCCATGTCTTTAATGAGGCCTTAAGCCCTTCTACAAATTTTTCATGACTACTAGCATCCTGCCTCATTTTGAGAGCGTCCCCTTACCTCAGGTCTCTATTCCGCAGGTCAGGCAAGTCCGCGGCGACCAATTCTCATGTATCGTGACTGCAGTCGTTTTTTCCACAGAAGCACACACCAAAAACCTTTACTCCTTTTAAGGGGGTCTCGGGCCCCACGTTGGGCGCCAAATGTCCCAACCCGCGGGACATCAACGGAGGTCTGGACCTATAAAAGAAGGAGGGGAGCAGGGGACACAGGAAATGGAGACAAGGCAGGCTTTCTGATCAAGTCTCATTTATTGAAGGCAAGCTCAGGGTAGTTATACACACAGTAAGAGGAAGTGGGGGAGTTCCACCAATGGTATAGGGGCGGGGTATTCCAGGAAGAGGTACAGCTTTGACCGCAATTTGTTCCTTTCACAAGGGTGCCTTGGCAGCTGCAACACTAGTAATTTTCCAGAGGTCATACTGGGCCTGTGGTCCCTTACAATTAGAAACATCTAGAAACTTAAGAGTTGAGACTTGTCTTTACAAACCTTCTAAAGAAAAAAAGGAGAGAAAAGGAAAGGAAAAAGGAAGGGAAGGGAGGGAAATGAAAGGGAAGAAAGACAAAAGAAATGTTCAGTGTAACTCTTTCTTCCTGTTGGAGGAGGAGGAGCCAATCGGGTCTTGAGCGCGAAGACTGCCTGTTTTCAATCCGGTCGGACAACACGGTATATAAAGGCAAAATTTTTTTTCCTAAGACCCCATTCTTTCGTTTAAGAAGCTTGAGGTAGTTCTTCGTAATGTCAGGACGTGGGAAAGGAGGTAAGGGGCTTGGTAAAGGGGGTGCCAAGCGGCACAGGAAGGTGCTCCGGGATAACATCCAGGGCATCACCAAGCCCGCCATCCGTCGTCTGGCTCGGCGCGGCGGCGTCAAGCGTATCTCGGGGCTCATCTACGAGGAGACCCGCGGCGTGCTGAAGGTGTTCCTGGAGAACGTGATCCGGGACGCCGTCACCTACACCGAGCACGCCAAGAGGAAGACGGTCACTGCCATGGACGTGGTCTACGCGCTCAAGCGCCAGGGCCGGACCCTCTACGGCTTCGGCGGTTAAGTTCAGCTGCGATTTGCCAGCCTGCCAAGGAAAACCAAAGGCCCTTTTCAGGGCCAACCATGGTGTCTTTAAAAAGCTGAACACTAAGTTAACTGGTAGCCATATTTAGCGGGTGAGTTAATTGTCAATTCTCTACTCGTGTTGCCATGACAATAGAAATTTGCTGTGAAGGGCAAATTAGTTTAATTTACAATGCTATGCTGCAATATACTAACAATTGTAGTTTTCAGTTAGATTGTCGTTTTAAGGGGTTTTTCAGAGAGAGTTTATAGCTTACGTGCGCTTACTGAACTACAAGATAGTGAATTTTCTCATCACATTGAGGGAACTGTCAATTCTGCATTCTGATTTGATAGCTCTTGGGTTACCAAAAGAGGTATGCAAATAAGGAGATAGTACTCCTTTTTTGCTATTGGCTGTTAACACAAAGGCGCCAGCGGACCAGGAAAGTGCTTGCTGCACCCAATATGTGATACTTTTTCACAGCTTATGAAAGGTAGATGGAGGATAAGTAATAAACTCAGAGTCGTTTTCAGAAGGAGATGGCGAGAGATTACTAACAAGTCCCTAAGAGGCAAAGATGGGGAGGGAGGGCATTGGAGATATGGTGGACTGCTTGGGCAAAGATAAAGGAGGTGGAATATGGAATGTAGTAGAATTTTGTAGATGAGGAACAGGTAGCAGTCTCGTTAGCTGGAATAAAGAGATAAAGGAGAGTAATAGGATACAATATTGGAAGGGTGCCGTGGAGTCAGATTAGAGAGGGCCTTAAATTCCAGACCGATGATTTTCTTTTTTGTTCTAGAAGCAATAAGAAGCCAATGAAGATTTTTGGAAAGGGGAATTACATGGGTCAGATATTTTAGGCACATCAATTTGGTGGCTGTATGGGGGAGAGATTGGAGAAAATAATCAAATATGTAGAAAACATTTGCTGTATTCTCGATCTTCCTTATCACTATATCATTGTTTTCCCTTTAATTGCTAATTTGTTCCTGTAGAGCTATGGAAGCAATCATATTTTTGTAACTCTTCCCAGGTGTTAGGATCTTTTAGCCTCCAAGGAAGGCCCTGTGTTAGCATAGAGTGATTGGTTGGTTGGACCAAAATGACATCACTATGTTGGAGTCAAGTTACAGTGTGTCGAACTGTGGCTGATCAGACCAGTTCGAGCTCGGAAGGCTCTACCACAGGTCAGGCACAAATAGTCCATGTGAGCATTCGGGATGGATTCTCTGTGCACATCTCGCGTTTCTATCGAGCCTACTTCAATTCTGCTTTGCTCATAGAGCACAGCACATCCTCCGATGAAGGCACGCCGTGCTGGGCGGTCCTGTGTCAGTGTCTCCCTTGTCATACAATAAATCCCAAAGTCCTTAAGAGAAACCTTGAGAGTGTCCTTGTATCTCCTTCTGACCACCATGTGAGAGTTTGCCCTGTGTGAGTTCTCCGTGAAATAGTCTTTTAGGCAAGCATATGGTTGGCGTTCGAACGACCTGGTTAGCTCTTTGTAGTTGCACACTCTGCAGTTGAGTTTGAATACTTGGGAGTTTAGTCTAGTGAGAGACGTCAGTGTCAGGATGGCCGAGTGGTCTAAGGCGCCAGACTCAAGGTTGATCCTTACTTCGCAGAGCGTTCTGGTCTCCGTATGGAGGCGTGGGTTCAAATCCCACTTCTGACACATCCTTTTTTTTTTTTTTTTCTAAATGAAGCCCTGCTGGAATCTGGTCTCTGTGAATATGTTAAAGCCAGTCCCAGTAATCTCTCATAGAGTGGAGAACCGTACCTCAGACAAGAAATACCTTATTTTTATGTACATCTCTAGAGTTACTAGGGTTACTAATAAAACTCTTAATTCTATCAAGGTGGTTATATACAGGATATTCCCCTCCTTTCTTTAATCCTGGGGCCACATAAATAATAGCTACCATTTATATAGCTCTTTAAAGTTTGTTATCTTATTTGATCCTCATGACAACCCTGTGAGGTAGATGCTATTATTGTCCCCATTTTACAGATTAGAAAACTGAGGCAGACAAAGGTTAAGTGACTTGACCAGGATCACACACTTAGTAAGTATCTCCAGCAGCATTTGAACTCAAGCCTTCCTGTCTCTAGGCCCAGCATTCTGTCCCCTTCTCCGGCTAGCTACCCCGTGATTAGAACAAGCCACCTTAAAAGAACAACTAAAATCAGGTAGTCCCTACAGGTTTATGTGGAGAAGGGAGAAACATGCACAAGTCAGCTCCATTTCCTTAGGGTCTTTGGCCTGGTTATGAGGATACAGATACCCAGGGTCTTTCTTTGCACCAGCTGGTAGTTGTCCTACCACTTAAGCCCCACAGTGGCTCTGAGATGCCTAAAGCCAAGGTTGGGACAATTAATACTGAGTCAACAAGTATTTATTGAGTGCATACTATGTGCCAGGTGCTATGCTAAGTGCTGGAGATACAAAGAAAGGGAAAAAGTCCTGCCCTCAAGGAGCTCAAAGTCGAATGGGGGAGACAATAAGAATATATGGGGCAGTTGAAGGAGGGGAATAATGTGTAAGAAATAATGTAGAAGGATGCCATGTTATGTATGATGGGCTTTGAACACCAAACAGGGGATTTTATATTTGATACTGAAGGTGATAGAGAGCCACTGGAGTATATTGGGATGGGGGGAGGGAAGTAGGGAGGGGATTGACATGGCTAGATCTGTCCTTTAGAAAGATTAATCTGATAGCTGAGTGAAGAATAAATTGGAGTGATGAGAAACTTGAGTTTGGGAGACCAACCAAAAGGCCATAGCAGTAGGCATGGAGCAGAAGTGGTGTCACAGTGGATGGAGTGCTGGGCCTAGATAGTCAGGAAGACCTCAGTTTGAATCTGGCCTCAGACAGACACTGACTAGCTGTGTCACTCTGGGCAGGTCTCTTAACCCTGCGTGTTTCAGCTTCCTCATTGATAAAATGAGCTGGAAAAGAAAATGGCAAACTACTCCCCTATCTTTGTCATGAAAACCCCAAATGGGGTCACAAAGGGTTGGACATTTCTGAACAACAACAATGAGAACATGACAAGGACCTGTACCAGAGTGGTGGCAGTGTCAGAGGAGAAAGAGGGACCTATAGCAGAGGTGTTACAAATGTAACATTAACAGGACCTGGCAACAGATTGGATATGTAATGAGAGGGGATGAGGCGTGAGCTAGGAAGATGGTGGTGCCTTCAACAATAATATGAAAATAGCAAGTGGGGGAGAATTTGTGGGGAAAGATGAGTTCAGTTTTGGACTTGTTGGATTTAAGATGTCTACCAGACATGCAGTTCAAGATGTCTATTGGGCAATGAGAGATGCAAGTCTGGAGGAGTGAGAGGAAAGGTGATGGAGGCATCTAGTGTGGATAGTCTTTTCAAGGAGTTTATCCATAAAAAGGAGATCAGGTGAGGGGTTTTTGAGGATGGAGGAGACGCTGGCATGTTTGTAGACAATATGAAAACAATCAGTAGATAGAAACGGTTGAAGGTCAGAGAGTAGGGATGATAAATGGTACAATCTGTTGGAGAATGTGAGATAGAATGGGATCAGGTGTGTAGGTAAACAGGTTTGCCTTAGCAAGGCAATGAGCTACTTCATGTGAGACAGGGGTGAAGGAAAAGATGGTTGGGGAAAGTATTTGAGTGATGTAAGAGGAGGAGGAGGAGGAGGAGGAGGGAAGAAGAGGGACATCTTAGCAAATGGCCTGAATTCTTTCAGTGAAATATGAAACAAAGTTCTCAGCTGAGAGGATTGGGGCAGAGGGAGTCTGGAAAGTTTGAGAAGGAATGAAAAATTTGGGAAATCTGTTATGGTGAGTGGGTATTTTGTCAATTATGGAAGTAAAAATAATTGTCTTGCCACAATGATGGCTAAGTGTGGTGAAATATGAAATGACTGAGGAAACAAAGGTTCAAGCTTCTGAGCATAGCTATTTATTAAGCAATGCATGCCAATTACATAATAAATTGGAACCAGATCCCCTCAGCTTTGGCACTGGACCCCAAATATAGGAGGAGATAGATTTTTATACATTAAAACAATAAAATAACACCAATTAATTAAAAGAAAACAATTAACCAGGAAACAAAATTAGGTACCCTGATTTCTAATTGGAGGAAAGATTAGGGACTTTCCAAGTTGGGAGGGGGAGAGCAAACGGGTGCAATTGTCTGAAATCAGAAAAAGAGGTGTCCCACTGGCCCCAAGTGGTCATATTCAATCAAAGGAACATGGAAACAATATTTGATTGATCAGTACAGGGCCAGCTTTCAGATAAGACATATCGGTTGCTTGAGATGTGTAACTGTGAGAAACTCCTTGCATCAATCTTTGGGTCTAACCAGGTTTCTGGTCAGCATAACCCATGTCCTTAATTAAGCAACAGGTAGAGGTGATCCAGCTTCCCAGCCACGAAGGTCTAGGTTCAAACAATGCAATTAAGTTTTCTCACAATTCCCATAATTGAATAAAGTTTTCCCACAAGACAGAAATTAGATTAGATTCATAATAGAATAGAAAGGGAACTGAGCTAGCTCCAGAATTGAATCACAAGATGGAGTCAGTGTGGTTCACTCAAATCCCACTACTATATGCTTTAATTCCCTCAGTTACACCTTTTGATTCATATGGGAGGGGCTAGCCCATTTCCTCTATGGATTACCTACCTACATGCCAAATCTATAAGGTTTTTCATATATTCATAATCAGAATTATGTATTCAGGTTACAGATGAAACTATTTAGAGGGCTCACAATGGACTCATTTTGAGAAGGGAGATTTACATGTCACCAAGGTAACCAAGAAAACTCAGCAAACATAAACACCATGAAACAAAAGGCCAAAGCAATATAATGATGATCATCAATTTTAAATAACATCGAGTCTCCTTGTATCCTAGTTAACCACTCCCAATGTCCATTTAATCATCATATTTTGACTTGATGCCCTCACTAGTTGAGATTGATGTAAATGAATAGGCCACCTTGAGGACATGTTACTTCA